ACAAGTAGAGCACAAGGGACTTTGTCATAAACGTACGTTGCGATCAGCTAGAACGTAAATACATGAATGACTGCGCTGCATCGAAAAGCCTGTCGATATATGTATAACTTCGCCGATCTTCTCGAAATTTCTTACACACTATTGATTTTCCCTCGTCCACACACGCGTGCAGAGCACGCGAGTAACGTTTTAAAAACGTTATTAACATCTCGATTTTTCCATTACGCGCATACTACGTACACGCATGATAAAATACAAGTAGAAGGAGATATTACAGTTCCCCTCGTACTATCAATGACCTATATTTTGAAAACATTATTGTTTCATTGTTAATCATCGATCCTTACGTCAATCATTTTTCTATATAGATTTACGAGGCACTTCACATTTCGCAATCGATTAATATTTATAATTATATTTACGCGATATATAATCATATAATTATATTTATCGCTACAGTCGCTTCCAAAAGTTACTATCCACAAATAAAAGTATTAAATACACAAACGAGCAAGCCGCTATTTATCCACAATTAATACATGGTTAGGCTGCCAAGCATGGTTTCTGCCTCACTGAAATGAATCTGCGCGAATGATACAGGTATATGACGCGTACTTATTGTCATGCTATCTATTGTAACAGTTTCCTACGCCAGAGCTGATATTATAGATGGAAGATATGCCCGTTTCACCTTTATAGTGACGGAAAGATCTATTTCTTATGAAAGCACTCGAACCGATTTCTTAAGGAAAAAGTGATTTCAAAAGGTGCAGGTAACCCATATAAGTTACCACGAATGAAATGTCAAGAGATGTCGCACGAAATGATCCAAAAATCTGCAAAAGCAGCGAGAGAAATGTCATCACGCCGGAAGCAAACCCCGCACAGAATGTTTCATTATTCTTTGTCGAATTTTTAACAGCAATCTTTTGCCATCTCTATACCATTTTTAGTGACGCACTTGTAATTATCATATACTAAGAACTCGCAATTCCGTTCTAACTAAGCCACCTAATTATTTCCTTTAGCTGCGACAATGCGAGGAATGTTTCTTGCGTGATTTAAGTGATTTAGTGGCAGAAAAAAATTCGTTTATGCACATTACATTTCAACGTTTCCTTCCAACCTACATTTACAATTTATTTATCAGTTAGTATTACAGTAATGTCTCTCTAATTGACGCCCAGATTGACCACAAAAATGGACAATTTGGGAAGAGGAGATACGATTATTCGAGCCTTGCGGTTTATTCTTATAGTTATAAATTGTCCACAATTATAAAAACGAGCCGCAAGGCTCGAATAATCGTATCTCCTCTTCCCAAATTATCCATTTTAGTGGACAATCTGAGCGTCAGTAAGGGAGACATTACCGTATTA